CCAGGGGTCCTCAAACTACGGCCCTCGGGCCATATGCAAATACAAATATTGTATTTGTTCCCGTTTTGTTTTTTTTTACTTCAAAATAAGATATGTGCAGTGTGCATAGGAATTTGTTCATAGTTTTTTTTTTAAACTATAGTCCGGCCCTCCAACGGTCTGAGGGACAGTGAACTGGCCCCCTGTTTAAAAAGTTTGAGGACCCCTACTTTAAAATAAGGAAAAGCCTGGAGGAGCCGTTTTTGGATTGTTGATCACATCATCTGGTATAAGACCTTGGCCCCTCCCCGGGCCTCCTGTGCCAGCTCCGCCCCACTCGTCCCAGGCGCTCAGCCCAGGCACCCTTCTCCCCTGGTCCTCCTCCCACCAGCGCCCCTCCTCCTTGCCATCTGCACCCTGAACTGCTGGAGGCCATGCCTGCTGCCAGGGGCACCTGTGTCACTGTTTCTGCTCCTGGTGCCCCTCAAGGGCTCAGTAAAACAAGCCACGTAGGAAAGGACGGGGAAGGGCAGTCTCGTGCTGAGTGTAGCTCAGTGACGTCCAGTGTCTGTGGTAACAGGCCAGGAACTTGGCCCGGACACACGCTGCTCCCTCATCCACCCACACAGGCACGAAGCGAGGGAGGTAAGAAGGCCACGCACCGCTCCTGGCACCGAGCAAGCACCCAGGAGGTGGCACTGACCACATACATCATAACAATAACACACCAGGGAGAGTCGGAGCAGAGCATGTAAATGCCCTAACGATATCCTGAGAGGAGAATTCTCACCCCTGGTGCGAGGACGCCTGCGAGGGAGCGGCGTGTGGCGAAGATGCAGGACGCCACTGCGCTGTGAGAGCCGAGCAGACGGAGGCATTTCAGGGTCAGGAGGAACGACAGGGTTCCCTGGAGCCACCTCGCCCTCTGCGGCAGAGAACACAGCAGCCACGTGTCACCCTGTTACAGGGCGCACAGCGTCATCACCCCTGCGGGCCGGGCACAAGGGAGGCGTGCCCTGGGGTGAGGAGCACCCCAGCCACGATGTGAGAGGGTACGCGTGTCAGGCTGCAGAGGGAAGGCACGAGGGAGAAGCAACTAGAGTTAGAGCTTTTCAGAAGGGCCAGCTCCAAGTCTGATCTTGCGGCTCCATAGCGGTCAGGCCCGGTCAGGCCCGCTCAGGCCCGGCGCTGCCCGTCGCAGCCTCAGGACCGAGTGGGGAAGGCCACCTCCACACGGCACGTGGAGAACTCAGTGCCTGCCACCGCCCGCCCCGCCCCTGTGTGGGAATGAGCGCCTGATCGACAACATTCCTCACGCACGTTTGTAACATTTAATCTTCATAAAACTAGAGCACCCCGATTTCTACCGACGGAGCCTGGGCTCCGGGAGAGGAGATGACAGAACAAGAGCCGCCTGGCTGAGCAACAGCAGGCCCAGGCCCTCCTGTGTGGCTCCAACGCCCGTCCTACCTGATTCCATGACGCCATGGGACTGAGGTCCACAAAGCCCCGCAGGAGTCCCATGTGCAACTGGTCGGTCACCTCCCCGGCCAGAGAGAGCAAGTGGCCGGAGGCTGCGTACCAGGCCAGGCCGGCCCCGGCGAGGGGCAGCTGCGGGGCAGAGAGAGACCGTCAGACGGGCTGCGGCTTGGGGTGCAGGGGATGACACCCCCTCGGCGCCTTCAGGCTTATGCCATGGGGACGGCCCTGCGCTGGCTGAGCGGGTGTGCAGGCAGGCCCGGCATAGCTATGTCCGCTGCGAGTTGTGAGGGACACAGGGCCTACCTCCAGCCAGGCCCCGGGTTTTTGCCAGTAGCCACGGACGCCCTCCTCGGCCAGGCGGAAGAGTTGGAGACACAGGTGGGTCAGGGTGAGCGCCAGGAAGGCCAGCTGGAGGAGCGCGAAATAAGAGATGACAAAAGTCCCATGAATTGTGTGGGAAGCTTGAAACCCCTGCCTACCCTCAGGAGTGGGCTCCATCCCAGCATGTTCTTGGCCGTGTGGAGCTCTGAGACACACGTGGTCTTCGCAGGCCCCCGGGCATTTGCACCTCTCCACCCACCAGCCTCAGAGACCCGCCGGCGGGCGACAGGGATGCACGTGAGCTCAAGACGGGTGCCCTCATGGAAGCCCTGCCCTGTGAGAACTGCCCAGCGCCCAGGGCGTCTCCTGACCACCCTGCCCACCCCCAATCCTTCCTCATGATACTCAAGAGAAAGAGTGCTCATGAATTTGGAAAACATATGAAATGTATTAACAGTTTCCTTGGCCACGTCAAACCTTTGAAAGATCCTGCACATAAGAAATTTCTTAAAGTTCTGTCTATGATGATCTCACCTTGATGATTTCCCGTCTACCATGACTTCACTCACCCCCTCACCCCCTCACCCCCTCCCTCCCTGAGAGCAGCAGTGGCCCTGGCCTGTGTAGGGCCCTGTGCACCTTCCAGTGAACACTTTAAAACTAAAAACGCCTCTTTGGGACCCCTCCCTCCCTTTGGGGACAAGGGAGCGTGCTGCCGCCACAGATCACGTGCTGGGCCCCAGGACAAGAATGAGAACAGTAGCAGCCACGCCACAGAAGCTGGAACGTGTGTGGACAGCATTTGGTAGCCCACAGCTAAGCTTCGAATACTCATCTTTGGTTCTCACAGGGTGAGGGACGTCAGTGTCTGAGTTGAAGCCTGTGTGAGGCACAGGCCATGGCAGCCTGAGTGAGCCCTGGACAGGGCCTGGGCTTCAGTCCTAAGCCCCCCACATGGCATCTGTACCCCGAGAGCTCTGCATTTGCACCAGCCACGCAGACTGGCTGGTTCCCCTGGGGGTCTTCCTGTCCTGTGCCCACACCAGCGGGCATGGCAGGGGTCTGTGGAGGGCACGTGGGGGCACTGTGCTCCACGGGGGGCCGAGAGGCCGGTGAGCTCACCTGGGGAAGCAGCAGGTGGTACCTGGGGGCTGAGTCACTGTGGAAGACGGTGACCGACTCCACGAGGGGGGAAAGGGTGAGGCCCCTGGCCGGGAGCAGCTCAGCACGCAGGGACACGCTGGAGAAGAGGCGGGTGGGAGGGTTGTAGAGGACGAAGTGCACGGACACGGCCCTGGTGCGGTGGTCCACCCAGCGGCGAGCCCTGAGGCCAGTCAGCACTGCGCGGGCTGCGGGCCTGCAAAGCGTGCAAGTCAGAGGGGGGAAGCCGTGCAGGGAGGCTTCCAGCCCAGGCCCTGCTGACCCCTGCTGTGGCCCTGCTGACCCCTGCTGTGGCCCTGCCGACCCCTGCCAACCCCTGCCGACCCCTGCTGTGGCCCTGCTGACCCCTGTGGCCCTGCTGACCCCTGCTGTGGCCCTGTCGACCCCTGCCGACCCCTGCTGTGGCCCTGCATTCACAGGACTGCACGGGTGGCCTTCTGTGTCCTCCGACTCCTCGCTGCCCACTGCCCCTCTCTCCTTGCCTGGGTGGGACCGCAGGCTGAGGAGGCCTGGAGAAGGGCAGCCTTCCCTGTCCCAGGGGCCCACTTGGGAGAGATCGCCATCTCTCGCCCAGGCCGTGGAGCGATGGACAGGCAAGTGTGGACGACTTGGACCCCCAATCACACTGACCTTGTCCTGCCCAGGCTGAGCTCACAGTGCTCCCTGCAGGCTGTGGAGTCACTTGGGGCCACTCTTTGGGTCTCTGCGTTGGTGACAGAGGGGGTTTCAGAGCCTCCAACTTTGGGGTGACACGTAGGTAGAGAGTCTTCGGGGAGCACGGAGAGCGGTCTGGGAAGCTGCAGAGCCAACCAGAACCAGAGCAGGAGTCAGAGGCGCTTCCACGTCTGCCCTCACCCTGGGGTGTCTGGCCGGGCCGTGCGGGCACATGCTGACCTCAAACATGGCCCGAGCCCCTCGGTCCCCCGCGTGGCCCCCGGCTCCAGCCTGAGCCCAGGACCCGACCCCTCAGGAAAGGCTGCACCTGGGGTGACCCCATTCTGAGCTGGGACGCCAGTGAGTTTCCATCACCAGCGATGCAGGGGCGTGCCGTCCTCATCCCCCTCCCATCAGGACAAGGTCTGTGACATTCCAGTTTGAGATGGAAGCGCCTGGATTTGCAGGACCAGGATGGAGGCCCCTCGGGAAGGAGTTGGGCCAGAGGAGAGGGAGGTGAAGGCGGTCGCCCCGCCCCCCAGCCCAGTGCCCACGATTCATCACAGCCAGAGATGGCGCCAAGGGCCTGGGTTTCCTGCCCATGGGTTACTCAGACCTTTCACATTCCATGTGTTTTTAGAAGTAAAAAGAAAGAGCATCTGACCTCGTCGCTTCTTACCTCACATGAAGGGCCAGGAGAAAGTCTTATTTGCTTAAGGACTGCCGGGCCTATGAGGTAGCATGTTCCCCCGAGAGCTCCTGGCTGCGGGAAGGAGGACATGGCCGCACTGAGAGCCTATACACCCTCACCCAGCACAGCCACACTGTGAGCCTGCACACCCTCACCCAGCACAGCCACACTGTGAGCCTGCACACCCTCACCCAGCACAGCCACACTGTGAGCCTGCACACCCTCACCCAGCACAGCCACACTGTGAGCCTGCACACCCTCACCCAGCACAGCCACACTGTGAGCCTGCACACCCTCACCCAGCACAGCCACACTGTGAGCCTGCACACCCTCACCCAGCACAGCCACACTGTGAGCCTGCACACCCTCACCCAGCACAGCCACACTGTGAGCCTGCACACCCTCACCCAGCACAGCCACACTGTGAGCCTGCACACCCTCACCCAGCACAGCCACACTGTGAGCCTGCACACCCTCACCCAGCACAGCCACACTGTGAGCCTGCACACCCTCACCCAGCACAGCCACACTGTGAGCCTGCACACCCTCACCCAGCACAGCCACACTGTGAGCCTGCACACCCTCACCCAGCACAGCCACACTGTGAGCCTGCACACCCTCACCCAGCACAGCCACACTGTGAGCCTGCACACCCTCACCCAGCACAGCCACACTGTGAGCCTGCACACCCTCACCCAGCACAGCCACACTGTGAGCCTGCACACCCTCACCCAGCACAGCCACACTGTGAGCCTGGCACCCTCGCCCAGCACAGCCACACTGTGAGCCTGGCACCCTCGCCCAGCACAGCCACACTGTGAGCCTGGCACCCTCGCCCAGCACAGCCACACTGTGAGCCTGGCACCCTCGCCCAGCACAGCCACACTGTGAGCCTGGCACCCTCGCCCAGCACAGCCACACTGTGAGCCTGGCACCCTCGCCCAGCACAGCCACACTGTGAGCCTGGCACCCTCGCCCAGCACAGCCACACTGTGAGCCTGGCACCCTCGCCCAGCAGCATCATTCTGGACCTCCGCGTTGTTGCCACGACCCCGCCCACTGCGGTGGTGGAGCAGGAAGCAGCCCACCTGAGCGCCGGGCACGCCGACCGGGCACACGCCGTCCAGCAGTGTGGTCAGGCTCCAGTCCCACCAGGCATCCCTGCTCAGGCGGCTGCTGGGGGAGCTCCTGGCACCTCTTAACGCAAGAGCAGAAACAAAAAGTCACTTCTGTAACAAGATGGCAGGCAGTCTGGTCTGCGGGAGCTAGCGGAAGCCTCTGCAGCATGAGGCACAGGGCCCTGGAGCGCCTGGCCCTGGAGCGGCGGCGAGAGGACAGGGCAGGACAGTGGACTGGTTCCTGGTGGCTCACCCGCTCCGTCACCCTCTGAACCTGCGCCACTGGGGAGGACCACCGCCTGCCCGGCCCTCTTCTGGGCGCTGGGGACACGGACAATCAGATCCCTGTCCTGTCAAATCCCACGTCACAAACACATAAGCCAAGCACATCAGTGACAAACATCAGGGAGAGAAAACAGCGAGAGACACCGCGTGGGCCGTGGGCCGTGGGCAGTGGGCAGGGGAACCTTAGTTTGAGCGGCCGGGAACTTCAGCACGCGGGGACGTTTCAGCAGAGACTGAAGGCAATGGAGGTGCCCACAGGGACGTCTGAGGGGACACAGGCACAGGCCAGGATGGGCATGTGCCAGGGGTGACGGGAGGACAAGGAGGCCGCTGAACGGGGGCCGAGCCAGCGCGGGACCCGCAGATAGAGACATGGTGCTCTCTACACCACCACCCGCTGGCCATGGCTTCTCCTCCCTCCCGGCCTGCAGACCAGAGCAGCAGGCCCAGCTCTGACGGCTGAGGTCAGACGAGGCGCACAAGCCAGGCGCACACAGCGCACAGTGAGGGTCAACAAGCCTAGCGTGCTGCCTCCCAGTGAGCTGCTGACCGTGAGGTAGCCGTCTGCCTCCCCTCCCCCCAGGGAGCTGACTCCAGGACACTGAGCACTTCAGACCACGAAACCCGTCAGCTCGGCCGAGACACCCGCTGAGCAGAGCCTGGCCATCGTGACAAACCCGGGCCACGCGCGAGGAAAGGAGACAGAGCAACATGGACTTGTGGCAGGTCAGTGACATGTCACCAATGTGTGGACTCAGAGGAGGGCAGGGCGGGCCACCTCCCTCCCCATCATGGCCTTCACCGCTCAGAGCTTCCTGCGTTTCCAGAGCCCAGGCTCCCACTGCCCCCCTCCCCCCTGCACGGGCTCCTGGGCCAGCTGTGTGCCACCCTGAGCGGCTGGAGGCCCCAGGGTGAGCTTCCCAGGTCCAGGAGGCCACCCAAATGAGCACTTTGTTGAGCACGTGGTGCCACCTGCTGGCAGGAACTGTCCGTAACCGACCGTGAACACGGCTCGGGGCCTACCTGGTGAAGGTGTTCCGGATGGCGTGGTTGAGGGAGTGTTCATCCCGGTGGGAAGTCGCGTGGGTTATAAGCAGGTGTGGGAGCAGCATGAGGACGGACATGCAGGTGTCCCTGTAAGAAAGGCATTGGGAATGGCGTCTTCACAGGCCGCTGTGCAGACCAGCCGACCGTTTCAGTGGACACTTTTGCGTAAGGGTGAGGTCTGTGAGGAGGCTCATGTTTTGCATATTGGCATCCAAGTTCCCCAGCGCCAGCCTCAGAATGAACTGCCTTTGTGCTTTTGTCAAAGACCCGCTGGGCATCCGTGTGGGTCTATGTCCGGGCTCTGTCCTGCTGGTCTGCGTGTGCACCACGCGGTGTCTCGGGTCCAGGGCTTCAGGCCCAGCCCTGAGGTCGGGGACTGGCCGCCTCTGACTGTCCTTTTCCAGGATGGCTCTGGACAGGCCAGCCCCTTGCTTCCCGCACACATTTGGAATCAGTCTGTCAGCATCTACAAGCTCAGCTTGCGGGTTTGGGTTGAGACTGCCCTGACTCTACCCTGGAAAGATCTGACACGGGGCCATGCCGCGCGTCCGGCCGTGAACGCAGCGTCTCTCCCTTGCTCCGGCGCTGAGCTCTTCTCTCGGGTCTTGTGGTTTTCAGAACCAAACTCCTCGCTTCCTTCCACCCGGGGCTGAGCGCTTCGCTTCCCGAGTGCCGTGTGAGTGGCTTCGCTGTTTCAACCTCGGTTCCTACTGCCCGTGGCTGAGGTGGGAACCCGCCTGGGCTCCAGCCGACTCGATCCTGCGGCCCTTCGGGTCCCCCTGCTAGTGCATCCCAGGAGCCTTTCTCAGGATCATTTGGGTTTTCTGTGTAGACTATGCATGCCACCTGCCCACAGGCTGTTTTATTTCTTCCTTTCTAATCTATAAGCTTTCCGCTCTTTTCCTTGCCCCCGGCACGGCTGGGACTTCCTGGGAGGGGCAGTAGGAGCCGGGCTTCTACCTGAACAAGCACTCACTGTCCCAGCAGGTGTGAGGTAGGTGGGGTCACAGAGGCCCCCTATGAGTGTGGGGACATTCCCTTCTAGTCCTACTTTGTGGAGAGGTTTTCTCGTTCTGTTTTCATGAAGGAGCATCGATTGTGTCAAATGCTTTCTGTACGTCTCTCGAGATGCTCACGTGACTTGTCTTGTTGGATCCGTTCAGACGGTGAACCACGTCAACTCCTTCTTGTGTCTCTCACCCCCAGGTAGCACCGCGTCTGTCTCCGTTGGTCTCTCCCGCCCTCCCCGAGGCGCTCTGGGTGCTAACCCTGGGAACCGTGAGCGGGCACAGAGCCTGAGCACATTAGGACCCGGCTGAGTGGGGGAGGTCACCCTGCAGGGGACGTGTTTGCTGTCAGGAGACACTTGACGTCTGGTCCTTCTTTTTCTTCCTTTATGTTGGTCGCTGTGACGATCGATGTTTAGGCCCATGAATTCATCAAAGGCTGCCCACGGTCAGGGGGGGCTCTGTCGCTTCCTGTAGGGCTGTGGCAGGTCCACAGGGAAAAAGGGCCGGTAAGTCTGCCACCACTTCCCAGGCCTGGAGTCCATGGAAAGACGGCCGAGCCTCCATTGTGTTGGCTAACACTGGTCCCGGGGGTGGCATCTGGTGCCCTCATGGCTGCCCCTCCAGCGTGTGGGTGTCAGGGATTCCCACGTGCTTCACAAACGGCACCAGCAAGATGAGAGGGAGAGCAGGCGACGCCGGGAAGTCAGAGAAAGATCCGATGCCAAGTGCACGAGGCTCCCCACAGCCGTCCAGCCCCACCCACGACCAGGTGGGGGTGTCATCCAGAGAAAGGTGTCAGAGGCCACGCTGGGGAGACTTACCAGGCACATGCACTTCCTAACTTTTGGGTTTTATCTAAAAAGCATCATGTCGATGTTGCGCTGAGCTCCACAACGTATTTAACAGGCAGAGGTTTGAGAACATTGCCCCCAACTCCATCCGCGTCCCAGGTAGAGGTGTTTGTCTTACGGCTCCAGTACCGTGTGTGTCCCGCCTGCTCACCACCAGCTCCTGCAGAGCCCGGTCACTCCAGCTTCTTGGCATCCTGTGGACTGGGGCGCACGGCGGTGGCTCTGGGCCAGCAAGGCGTCCCCCTTCGCTCCCCCTCCCAGATGCTGGCAGGCTGCTCTGGACAAGAGCGCGGGACCTCCACCCACCTCAGCACTGCCCGGGTGCGCGTCTGTCTCCGCATCCTCTCCCGTGTGGCCCTGAGCCACGCTGTGGACGGTGGACGCGCCCTGCGCAGGCGACGAGCTCGCTGTCGCTCAGCCAAGACCTGTGGGGAGGAGAGGGCCGTGGGCCTGGGGCTGCAGAGCAAGGGGGTGAGGCCTAGGTGCCCGCCAAGCCCGGGAGGATAGGGTCACCGCCTTTGCATTGGCCTGGGGTTTGTTGGGCAGCTGTCCGGGGAGGCAGGAGACTGTTCTCACTCTGTCCCGTCGCCATGGCCACGCTGGCAGGGCCCCGACACAGTCTCGGTCACATCCAGCTACAGGGCAGTTCGCTTCCAGAGCTCAAAGTGGGGAAAGCCATTTTAAAGTGCACTCGTGCCTGGCCGGCGTGGCTCAGTGGTTGGACATCGACCTATGAACCAGGAGTCACGGTTCGATTCCCAGTCAGGGCACAGGCCCGGGTTGTGGGCTCCATCCCCAGTGGGGAGCGTGCAGGAGGCAGCCCATCAATGATTCTCTCTCATCATTGATATTTCTATCTCTCTCTCCCTCTTGCTTCCTCTCTCTGAAATCAATAAAAATATATTTAAAATAAATAAAGTGCGCTCTTAGCAAGAAATGACCTTTGCTTTCCATGGTCACAGCTCCCGACTAGTCATTCCACATGAGCACACAAGGCCCACGCAGGCCACAGGCACTCCCCGTGGGGCTGGCACACCTCTCTCTCCTCTTTGTCATCCATGCGGCCAGGACAATGCTGTGCACGTCGGGAGCAGCTGATCTGGAAGGAAGCAGGAGGGAGGGAGGAGGTTTCTGTGAGCCCATTGACGTGCAAAAGGCCTCAACTTCTCCAAAGTCATAGCCAAGAATCAGTCCTCCTCTGCTTCAGTGTAAAATAAGCTGGTTTTCTTGTGGTCTGGCTCCTTCGGGATCGGGCGAAGGTAAGGGAGCTTAAGAACTAGAACGCCCCAGAGGTCTCTAAAGGTGCAGCCAAATCTGGATTCAGAATGTGATTCAGACACGCACGCCGAGGCCACAGCAAGCTCTCTAAGCTCAGTGACCCTGCAGGCCCCAGACCCGTCCTCACTCTCTCAACCACGCCTGGGCCGCGGGGACGGCTGCAGCAGGGCGCGTGGGGCGCGTGGGTGCAGGAGGCCCCCGCCAGGCCTGTGCCCAGGCCGTCGGTGGCCTCCTGTAAAGACTCAGTGAAGAAGCTCTCGTCGTCTCTCCTTTTCCAAGCGAAGCCCAGAGCCACCAGGCCCACCTGCAGGGACAGGGACAGCGCAGTCACGACGCCCTGTCTGTGCCCCACGGACCCGGCCTGCTCCCCGGTCAGGACCCCAGGGCTCAGTTCCCCTGCCTTCACTCCCGCCCGCCTGCTCCCAGCACGGCCTCCCTAAGGCTGATGTCCTCCAGAGCACTGGGTGCCGAGGGCTGTGTGAGACCGACAGCCACCACCGTCAGCCCTGCCTCCCGCCTCTCATCAGGCTGCGACACGGCAGGGACACGTCCCCACACGCAGGCACCATCCCCTCCCGGCCCGATGGTGGACGCGACTCCCATGCGGAGGGCTGCTCACCATGAAGGGCTGGGTGATGAAGACACAGCAGGTCACGGAGATGGTCAGCAGGCACAGCCACTGCCCACACTGCGTGGGGCCGAACCTGCCCGGAGACACGCCGTCACCTCCTGTCTGTGCTCAGGGCCCGGCTGGACCGTCCCCCAATGACAGGGGACTGATGAAGGTGGGGCCCTGGGCAAGGGGCAATGGGTGGGCCTGTTTTTCTACCCAACAAAGGGGAGTGAGTCTCCTCCTGCTCAGAGGGGTCGCCAGCCACCCTGAAGCTGCTCAGTGGAGAGAAAGGAGATCCCACACAGGCGGAGGCGGAGGCGGAGGCGGAGGCGGAGGCTGAGGCGGAGGCGGAGGCGGAGGCGAAGGCGGGGATGGAGGTGGAGATGGAGATGGAGATGGAGATGGGGATGGGGATGGAGATGGAGATGGAGATGGAGATGGAGATGGAGATGGAGATGGAGATGGAGATGGAGATGGAGATGGAGATGGAGATGGAGATGGAGATGGAGATGGAGATGGAGATGGAGATGGAGATGGAGATGGAGATGGAGATGGAGATGGAGATGGAGATGGAGATGGAGATGGAGATGGAGATGGAGATGGAGATGGAGATGGAGATGGAGATGGAGATGGAGATGGAGATGGAGATGGAGATGGAGATGGAGATGGAGATGGAGATGGAGATGGAGATGGAGATGGAGATGGAGATGGAGATGGAGATGGAGATGGAGATGGAGATGGAGATGGAGATGGAGATGGAGATGGAGATGGAGATGGAGATGGAGATGGAGATGGAGATGGAGATGGAGATGGAGATGGAGATGGAGATGGAGATGGAGATGGAGATGGAGATGGAGATGGAGATGGAGATGGAGATGGAGATGGAGATGGAGATGGAGATGGAGATGGAGATGGAGATGGAGATGGAGATGGAGATGGAGATGGAGATGGAGATGGAGATGGAGATGGAGATGGAGATGGAGATGGAGATGGAGATGGAGATGGAGATGGAGATGGAGATGGAGATGGAGATGGAGATGGAGATGGAGATGGAGATGGAGATGGAGATGGAGATGGAGATGGAGATGGAGATGGAGATGGAGATGGAGATGGAGATGGAGATGGAGATGGAGATGGAGATGGAGATGGAGATGGAGATGGAGATGGAGATGGAGATGGAGATGGAGATGGAGATGGAGATGGAGATGGAGATGGAGATGGAGATGGAGATGGAGATGGAGATGGAGATGGAGATGGAGATGGAGATGGAGATGGAGATGGAGATGGAGATGGAGATGGAGATGGAGATGGAGATGGAGATGGAGATGGAGATGGAGATGGAGATGGAGATGGAGATGGAGATGGAGATGGAGATGGAGATGGAGATGGAGATGGAGATGGAGATGGAGATGGAGATGGAGATGGGGATGGGGATGGGGATGGGGATGGAGATGATGGAGATGGAGATGGAGATGATGGAGATGGAGAGGGAGATGATGGAGATGGAGAAGATGGAGATGGAGATGGAGATGGAGATGGAGATGGATGTGGGGGGCGGGCAATAACAGTAATAACAGCTTCACATCTGCTGAACGGAGCAGGCCCATCCCTTAGCTAACAGGGTCACTGAGGATCGCCTCTGCTCCCCTAACCCTGAGAGGCACCATCCGCTGGGACTCCCGTGGTTTAGGACGTGGTCCTTAGAGCCATGACGAATGACCCTGGAGTTGCAGGCGATGGGCCGAGCTGCCGGGGACCAGCCGAGCAGGTGTGGGGAGCACAGCATCACCCCTATGACACAGGCTCTGCTTCCTCACCAGGTGTGCACTTCCTCCATCGTCAGGTGACTGCTAAGGGCATGCTCTTCGCCTGTCGGAGCTCAGCAGCCGGTTCCCTCCCACCTTGGGGGGGTCCTGCGACCTCTCCTATCGTGGGAGCAGTGAGCTCCCATGGGTTTGCACAGGACGCTCTTCGCCCCGGGCGATGGGGGAGCCGCGAGGACTGAGCCAGCCAGAGCCACTTCTGGCCCCACCTTACAAGTTCCCCAAACCCAGGGGTTTCCTTATGGGCAGTGGACTTGCCATCCAAAGACCTGAGAATGTTTCACAGCTCACCTGTACCCTAGAAACACTGTCCCCACGCCACAGGCCACAGAGACCAGCCCGCAAATGGCCCACGCTGCAGAGCGCAACCACGGCCGCGGCGCCCTTGGCCACGGGGTTGTGACGTGTCCTTCGAACGCATGGCTGGGGGCTAAGGAAGAGAAGACAGAGGCCAGCGTGAGAACAGCCCTCGTCGTGTCCAACCACACCCAGTGTGGTCACTGATTTTGTGTCTCCTGACTGGCTCACAGGGTGCCCAGCTCCCGCGCCACACCCCAACTCTCCCGACGGCCAATGCAGGACGGGCAGGAAGGGGCCAGGCGTGGCACACCCACCACGCACGTCACCTTGTAAACCGAGAATGCAGTCTCTCTTCTCCCTCAGAGCCCACTGGCCAAGCTCAGCCCCGCAGGCCTCCAGCTCAGGGGGCGGCTGGGCGGCCCCATCGCCGCTGGCTGCGCTCTGGGCCTGGGCTCCCCGACAGAGAACGGCCGGTGCGCTTCGCTAGAAAAGACCAGATGAGGGTGAGGTTGTGCCCCGGGAACGTGGTGCCCTCCACAGCAACTCCCTTGTGAGCCTCTCGGGAGGGCATGGCCTGGCCGACCTCATCATGCCTCAGGCTGGGATAGATTCTGGGGGAGGCGCAGAGCAGCCCCAGGCCATGACAGGACACTAACTACTAACAGGCTCCTTGAAGCCGAGAGCGAGTGTGCACCTGCCCCTGGGTGGCCGAGTGACCTGGGGCAGGGGGTGGGGTTCGGGCAGAGGATAGGGAGCCAGCCTGGTGTGGGGACAGGGCAGTGGAGGCAAGAGCAGCCAGAACACAGGCCTGGGAATGAGTGCCATGCTCAGGGGCGGGCTCTGAGCAAGGACTGAGTCCAGAGAGCACAGGAGCCACACCCGACACGCTGCCATGGACAAGAGTCCACTGAAGCTACAGTGGCTGAGGCCTGGATGGTGGCACCCAGCACAGGCAGTGCCTCGTGTTCTCTCACTCCCTCCGCTGCCCAGCCTCTCTTCCACGGACCTGCCCACCCCGCCCCCGCCCTCACCCTCGCCCTGCACTGGGCCTGGGGCCTCTGTCCCCCACAGGACCCATATGTACTCATGGCTCCTCACGCCCTTCCCACCCTGAGCCTGGCTGTCTGTGGCTCCCAGGGCAGGCGGGGCTGCACTCAGTGGGGCCACAGGCCTCCTGCAGGGTGAGGACACATTCAGGACGGAGCCCCAGGGCCTGCCCAGGACAGGGCCGCGCAGATGAGACTGGGCACCTGGCTGAGCCTGAAGAGCAGCGACAAGAGCTGCGCCCCCGGAGAAGCCAGGAGGGTGCACAGGAAGCCCATCCAGAAGGACCCGAGGGGGACGCCGGCCGGGCCAACACTTGGCGGGAGCTGCAGGGACAACAGAGAAACATCGCCCCAAGTCAGTGCGGCCCAGAGTGCGGTCATTTGTCATCATGATGCAGTCCATGTGAGCATGTGCATCGTGGGTAATCACATGGGCAGTCCATGTGAGTGTGTGTGTCGTACTTCACGAAGTTCTCTCTCCCTGAACCTCGGACTCCCACGCGGGAGTGAAAAAAGAAATCACCGGAAACGCTGCTTTTCTCCTGCACAACCCCTCTGGACGGAACAAACGTTTGCTGAGCGCTCCCTTGGCGCCAGGCCCCACGAGCAAAGCTGGCTGAATCCTCGCTAGAATCTGACAAGAAGCCGTCAATCCCCAACGCGTCCCCAACATAAAAGCAGAGGGAAGATCAGACAACTGTCCACCTTGGAGGAGGAGCCAACCTTAGGTTCCGGGCCGTGCCCAGTGTCACCGGTGGGTGGACACAGCTGTCCCCGCATGCTGCTCAGCGAGACCCCTACCACCTGCTCACACACCCCACACTCGCTCTTTCCAAAGAAGAACCTGCTGACCCGCAGCTGTGACAGTGACCCCTGAGCCCTGGTGCCCTCTGTGTACG